CTCTCTCTCTCTCTCTCTCTGAATGTTTGTGTTTTACTCTGCTCCCTACCATTCACTTGTCGCTCATATGACCTTATGCAGTTGTGAGCGCCGTAAAACCCTCTACTATAAAAAAAAAATACCATTCACTGTCTCTCTCCATCCCTTCCCTACCCCCTTTCTCTCTCTTTCTCTTTGTCTCTCTCTGAATGTTTGTGTTTTACTCTGCTCCCTACCATTCACTGTCTCTCTCCATCCCTTACCCATCCCTCATCTCTCTTTTTCTCTTTCTCTCTCTCTCTATCTCTCTCTCTCTCTCTCTCTCTCTCTCTCTCTCTCTCTCTCTCTTTCTCTCTTGGCTTGTATTTCTATAAAAAGTAAAAAAGTGGACAGAGACACGTCTTTGATGAAAGTAACTAAACACTTTTTTGCAATCAGCTATAACAATCAGGCACACGACCATGTAACATTTAATCTACAGAACTCATTACAGTCTTTTGTGTCATAACTTTTTGTGGAATCCTTGCTGAGTGGCAAGAGCATTATTATTAAACTAAACTAATCAAATATCGTATTCGTGTAGCACACAAACACTCCTCCTTTTATTTGAAACGTCCGTTGTTCTGTCATTCTCAGAGAGGTGACATTTAATACTGACCCCCCCCCCCTCCCCCCTACGCCAAATACAACATTTTCAGACTTTTGAAAAATACAATGTATATTGATATCCATTTTACGTCTCCTTTTACTTGAAACGTCGTCGTTGTTTGTCATTTTTCAAGGAGGAAGCAACCATGTAGCAAACCTCTACTTCTTCTTTTACTTGAAACGTTGTCGTTGTCTGTCATTCTCAGGGAGGAAAACATTTAAAAGATAAGATGAGATAAGATAGTACTTTATTTTCCCAGAGGGAAATTTTTCTTGCTGACCCCCGAATCCCCATACATTCTTAAACAAGTAGCAAACATTTACTCCTTCTTTCACTAGAAACGTTGTCCATTTTTATGTGATTTTCATGGAGGAAGACATGAACAAGTTGACCCATAACTCACAATACAACATCTTCAAGCATGTAGCAAACATATACTTTTTCTTTCACTTGAAACGTTGTCGTTGTCTGTCATTCTCAGAGAGGTGAACATTAAAAAGCTAACCCCGAATCCCGATTTAAAATCCTCAAATATGTAGAAAACATATACTTCCTCACTCACCTATAAAATTTAATGTTAATTTCTGTCATTTTCAGCGAGGAAGACATGAAAAAACTAACTCCTGACTCACGGTACAACATTCTCAAACATTTAGCAACCTTTATTACTTTTTCTTTCACTTGAAACGTTGTTGTTGTGTGTCATTTTCAATGAAGAAGACATGAGGAACAAAATACAACATCTTCAAACATATAGCAAACCTATACTTTTCCTTTTACTTGAAACTTTGTCGTTGTCTGTCTTTCTCAGAGCGGAAAACATTTAAAAGCTGACCCCCGAATCCCCATACAGGCTTAAACATGTAACAAACATTTACTCCTTGTTTCACTTGTTATCCATTTTTTTGTCATTTTCAGGTAGGAAGACATGAAAAAGTTGAACCATGACTCACAATACAACATCCTCAAGCATGCAGCAAACCTATACTTCTTCTATCACTTGAAATGCTGTCGTTGTCTGTTATTTTCTGGGAGAGAGACATGAGAAACAAGATACAACATCCTCAAACATGTAGATCTAGCCAACCTATACTTCTTCTTTCACTTGAACCTCTGTCCATTTTATTTGTCATTCTCAGCAAAGAGGACATGAGAAAACTAACTCCTGACTCACGGTACAACTTTCTCAAACATGTAGCAACCTTTATTACTTCTTCTTTCACTTGAAACGTTGTCGCTGTTTGTCATTTTCAATGAAAAAGACATGGGAAACAAGATACAGCATTTTCACACATGTAGCAAACCTATACTTTTCTTTCATTTGAAACGTTGTCCGCTGTTCTGTCATTCTCAGAGAGGGAAACATTTAAAAGCTGACCCCCGAATCCAGACACATCCTCAAACACGTAGCAAACATTTACTCCTTCTTTCACTAGAAACATTGTCGTTGTCTGTCATTCTCAGCGAGGAAGACATGAGAAAGCTGACCCGTGACTCACAATACAACATCCTCAAGCATACAGCAAACCTATACTGTTTCTATCACTTGAAATGTCGTTGTTTTTTCGTTTTCAGGGAGGAAGACATGAGAAACAAGATACAACATTTTCAAACATGTAGCAAACCTATACTTTTCTTTTATTTGAAACGTCCGTTGCTCTGTCATTCTCAGAGAGGAAAACATTTAAAAGCTGACCCCCGAACCCGACACATCCTCAAACACGTAGCAAACATTTACTCCTTCTTTCACTAGAAACATTGTCGTTGTCTGTCATTCTCAGCGAGGAAGACATGAGAAAGCTGACCCATGACTCACAATACAACATCCTCAAGCATGTAGCAAACCTATACTTCTTCTTTCACTTGAAACGTTGTCTGTTCTGTCTTTCTCAGAGAGGAAAACATTTAAAAGCTGACCCCCGAATCCAGATACATCCTCAAACATGTAGAAGACCTATACTTTTTCTTTCATTTGAAACGTTGTCTGTTGTTCTGTCATTCTCAGCGAGGAAGACGTGAGAAAGCTGACCCGTGACTCACAATACAACATCCTCAAGCATAATAGCAAACCTATACTTTTTCTATCACTTGAAATGTCGTTGTTTTTTTCATTTTCAGGGAGGAAGACATGAGAAACAAGATACATTCTCAAACATGTAGCAAACCTATACTTCTTCTTTCACTTGAAACGTTGTCTGTTGTTCTGTCATTCTCAGCGAGGAAGAATGAAAAACAAGATACAACATCTTCAAACATGTAGCAAACATATTCTTCTTTCACTTGAAACGTTGTCTGTTGTTCTGTCATTCTCAGTGAAGAAGACATGAGAAAGCTGACCCCTGACTCCCGGTACAACATCCTCAAACAGATCGGAGAAACAAAGAAGTACACCCGCAAGATGACCAGGCCCAAAATCCGACTTTTCTTCGCTCTACAGCTGGAGACCAAAGTACGTTTTCTTTATGGTAAACGTGTGTTATTAATTAATTAATTGATTACAATTTCATGCTAATTTATACGCTTTCATTTTCATTTGTACATTTTAATTTCAATTGATACAATTTCATGTTCATTTAAACAATTTCGTTTTCATTGGTACAATTTCATCTATACAAAATTTCATTTTTATTTATAGAAATTCATATTCATTTGCACAATTCATTTACACAAATTCATATTCATTTACACAATTCATTTACACAAATTCATGTTCATTTATACAATTCATTTACACAATTTCATGTTCATTTACAGTCTACAATTTCATGTTCATTTATACAATTCCATGCTCATTTACACAATATCATGTTCATTTATACAATTCATTAATACAAATTCATGTTCATTAATACAATTCAGTAATACAATTTCATGTTTCTTTATACAATTCATTTACACAATTTCATATTAATTTATACAATTTCATGTTCATTTATACAATTCATTTACACAAATGCATGTTGATTTATAGCCTACAGTTTCACGTTGCTTGCTTTGCCCGTGTCTGTTGCAGGACGTGCGAGCCCCGTACGACTCGGCCGACATCGAGGCTGTGGGCAAGTACCTGTGGTGTGGCATGGATGCCAGCCACGTGACCCATGTGTCCAGCCAGGCCATCGAGGAGTACCTGCACGTGTTTGACAGCTGTGACCAGCTGGACCAGGAGACAAGGAAGGAGCTCTCGGATACTTATGTCAATTATGTCGGGTGAGGTTATCACGTTGTTTGTTTGTCTGTTTGTTAGTCTGTCTGTTTGTTCATTTTGTTTGTATGTCTGTTTTGCGCACATTCATGTATTCTTGTTTATGAGTGTGTGAATGTGGGTTCCCCCTTTTGCCCCCCCCCCCTCTCTCTCTATCTCTCTTTTCTCTGTTTGTCTGTCTGTCTGTCTGTCTGTCTGTCTGTCTGTCTGTCTGTTCCTCTCTCTATCTATTTATCTGCTGTCTATCTATAGATAGATTATCTATCTACCTATCTATCTATCTATCTATCTATCTATCTATCTATCTATCTATCTATCTATCTATCTATCTATCTATCTATCTATGTTTCGTCTATTATATTGTCTGTTTGCTCTAACTGTCTATGTGCTGGCGTCTGTGGTATAATGGTTAGTCCTAACGCTGTTGTACACAGTCGAACCGAATTCGATTCCCGAGTGGGGTGGGGAGAGAAATTAATTTTTATCGAATTTCTCGGTCTTTCCGCTGGTATGTTGTCGGAAGCCAACAATCCTAAATATTCTTATTCGTGTCAATGGAAGCGTAAAAGCACAAAAGTTACAACCACAAAAATCTGTCTGTTAGACTGTTTTGTCTGTTGGTCTGTCTGTTTAATTTGCCTATTTTATTAAAAACCTGTTTGTCACAGGTTAGGATGAAAACATTTCAACCAATCACCAACAACAATTCTTCAATTCCTATTGCAACTTGATTGTTTCACAGAGGAATCTTCAGCATCATCGACCAGCCGGACAAAGCAGAGGCCATGGGTTCTCTGTTGATGTACGTAGACATCACGACAGCCAGTACGCTCCCAGCAGTAAGTTTACCATAACATTTACGCAACATTTTAGTTGTAATAGAAAGAAACTGATCCAGCGACCCCCCTGTCCAAGACAATCACCTGTACAAACGGCCATATCCCACTCCCACCTCCACTTTTTAAACTTTTTTTTTGTGTGTTTTTTTTTTGTGTGTAACGGCACTGTCTAAGAGGATCACCTGTCTAAGATAACGACTTTTCTTTTCAACAATGTGTAGTCATTTGACAAAGGCTCAGTCGTATCTGCTACAGCCATTCTTTTAACGCCTACATCTACACGTGGTATTTTATCATAGTTTTCTCTAGTTCGGCTTAGGTATGATTATTTCAGTGTTCTGTTCACCTGGCTGAGTTACGTGTAAATGTGCTAAAGCGTATAGCAGTCAAGGTTAGTTAATTTAAGCTTATTTCACTTTAGTTTAACTTGATACTTTCAATTTAAAATAAGTCTGGCCTTGGAGGGTAAATTTAGCGTAGACAAGTCAATTTAATGTGTTTAAAATGATGTAGTTTTGTTTACATATTATTTAGTGTAACTAAGTCAGTGTTATTTAGTATTCTAGCTTTTATCGATCTTTTTATGTTTTTCTAAGAAAAAAAATTAATTATTCTTCAACATTTTGATTCTCTTTATGCGCACAGAAGAAGGTGAGTGGAACGTGTTACTCATACTTATGACTAAACAGTTACAAAATAAATTATCATTCTAAAGAAAAGCATTTTTATTAATTAGGAGGACAAAAACTGTGACAGAACTAAGAAACAGCAAGAACATTTTTATTAATGACGTAGATAAATTATATGAGACAGAAGACAAATGTTTTTAAAAATGTGTTTACAAAATGAGTAACCTCCTAAAATCTAGAGTCTTGATTGAAAATTAATATACTTGTGGTCTCCGTAATATTGGTAATTATAGATTCTGTCACATTTTTAAGTATACACGTTTTGAAGCTCAATTTTTAAAAATCTATGCTACCAATTACTGTCAAATTGCCACACTAACTACGTGATATACCTGTCGCTGGTGAGTTGTTCTCAGATTTTTGAACGCGAGAGTGGTTTTGTTATCGCGTGCGTGTTACATGTTTTGTGGTGGGTTTTTTTTTTAATTGCCCATGACACGGCAATGATTTGTTTAAAAAAGAAGTACACATGAAAGCTGTGTCATTTTTGTAGCAATTCGCCAGGGAAAAAGTTTGTGTTGTTTACGTTTCATGATATCGCGCCTAAGATAAAATGTGCGGAATTATCTTGTTGGGAAAATCCTCGTGGTGCTCCAGTATCCACTGTTGCGAGACATTATAATGTAACAAGAAGAACTGTGTACGCAACAATGGATCGTGAGAGAACAACAAAATCTGAAAAGCATCGACACCGTCGACCTGGGAGAAGAAAAACCACCCCAGGAGAGGATCTTTTTAGACGCCTGTTGCATCTACGGAATCGTTTCAAAACGGCAAGACAAACCAGAGATGAGTTGAACAACATGCGACATTTGCCTGCGATACTTCCTCAACTTGGAGCATTGCATGAACTTCATAATGAAGAGTGGAATAACATCCCTCAACTGGCAGTGCAGCGACTGATTGATTTCATGCGGCGACGATGTCAGGATGTCATCAATGCAAGAGAACATACGCGCTACTGATCGTGATATTTTTGTAGAACACCCCCACACTCCTGTAAGTCGGGAATAAACCTGTTATGTTAACTTTCCGTATTGTGGTTGTGTTTTTTTTAAATTTTTAAATTGATCAAATTATTATTCCTGAAATTTTAAAAAATCTTGGCTCATTGTGAAACTAGATCTAGCTATTTTCATTTTAACACAGTGTATACTTTAAAATGTGACAGAGTATAGTTCGTACTTCCTTAACTGACGATAACGTCCTTTAACACGTAAGGAGGAAGAGTAGTCATAGACCTTCCTAGCCAACACAGTCACCACATTGTTTTAAATTAATACATGTATTTCCGACATGATTTTTCTAGGATAAGTTGGAAAAGTTTGAAGTTCTGATGTCGGAAGTGCTTGAGCTGGCTGAGTCCCGGTCCCGTCGGCTGCAGGAAAAGAGTGGAAGAGATATACCCGAGGAGGAGAAGGAGACGGAGAAACGATTCAGGAAATCACTGACTCACGGCCTTTTTGGTGTCAAACATACAGGTAGCCGTGGACGTGTGTGTGTTCGTGTCGGTGGATGTCTATGGGAGTGTGTGTGTGTGTGTGTGTGTGTGTGTG